ATCCCCCATTGGGCACCCTGTGTGTTAAACGTATGTCAAACGTGTGGGTGGTTGGTGGGTGCTCTGGTGTGGTCTGCTTCTTCTTTCCTATGAAACATCTATCGTCCTTGTCTCCACTTCTTTTTTATGTTTGTTACTCTCTTGTAACACCTCTAATCTTCTGGCGCTCACATGACCTTATGCAGTTGCGAGCGCCGTAAAACCTCTACTAAAAAACTAAAACAATCTAATACACGGCTTACTTGAACGTGTATTCGAATGTGCTTCAATTTTCAAATTGATTTCGATACCCATTGAAGTGGACTTTCATCATCATCATCATCATCATCATCATCATCATCATCATCATCATCATCATCCAGTGCCAGATCTGCGACCGACATCGGCGATCATGGTTTTCCATTCATTCCTTTGCTCGGATGCTCTCAAAAAAGCTACGTTTCCCTGATCTTTCCCTGTTACCCATTTGTTTAGGTTCCCTAAGTATGTTGTTCTGGGCCTACCCCTGCCTCGCTTGCCCTCAATTTTGCTAGTGAGAGTTAGATTTCAAGACCCTTATGTCTATTCAGGTGTCCCAAAAACTGCATTTGTCGTTTCCTGATTGTTTTTAACATTTAAAGAAAACCCCAACGCGTTGAGATCTGGGACCAGAGGTGTTTACGTGGTGAAATCAGGTAAAAACGCGTTGAGATCGAGATCACTGCAACCTGGCAACAAGTGGGTTCAAACTTTTTGGGTGAAATCTACTGGCCACGGTGGGGGGGGGGGGTGATGGGCAAAAAAGGGGGGGGGGGGCGGGTTTAAAAAGGGGTTTTCGGGGGGGGGGGGGGGGGGGGGGAGATGGGACAAAAAGGAGGTGGAGGAGAAAGGCGATAAAACACTATCCTATTGACAAGATATTTCGCTGTCTACAGCCAAGTTTCTACCCGGTGCTCATTGCGGATGGGATCGGATCGGGTCGAGTTGATCGCCCGACAGATCGTCGCCTAAAAACAAACGCTTGTGCCGCCACGATAGCCGCTTTGCGCCCTCAATCAGGTTAGCAGGCCGCCTCGATCCGACCCCGACTCATCGCCTCAAAAACAAAAGCGTTTGTTTTTGAGGCGACAAGTCGGGGGATCGCCCCTGACCCGACCCGACCCGACCCGACCCGCATTAGGCACCCCGTACAAGATAGCCTAGCCGGGTGCCCGCTCACATGTGGGTGAAGTGAAAGTGCCTTTCCCAAGGACACAACGTAAGTCCTGAGGCTCGAACCCCCGAACCTGCAATCTCACGATTACGAGTCTATTAACCTATGCTAACTACATGTTGTAGACTTAGGCTAGGCGACCGACTCCACAACAAGGGAATATATGAAGCACGTAAGAAAAGATCAAGAGACTGACCAATCATAAACAAAATTAATTAACAGTTGACCCCGGTTTAGGTGGAGCTTTGATAAGCGCCTATAAAAACAATCTGTCTAATAAGTTCGTGTGCGTACAGGGTGAACATTTAGTTGTCCGCTAGTTTACGCTGCCCTCGCTCCCTTCTCATTAACTTCGCTGAGTATTTTTTATTTAGATGTTTTTGCATGTGTGTATGTGTGTGTGTGTGTGTGTGTGTGTGTGTGTGTGTGTGTGTGTGTGTGTGTGTGTGTGTGTGTGTGTGTGTGTGTGTGAGTGAGTGTGTGAGTGTGTGTGTGTAAATGTGTGTGTAAATGTGTGCGAGTGATAGTGTGTGTGCGTGTGTGTGCGTGCGTGCGTGCGTTTGTGCATGCCGTATGTGTGTGCACACGTCGCGGGGAGGGGGGGTGTATTTATGTGTTTGTGTGTGTGTGAGTGTGTGAGTGTGTGTGTGTGTGTGTGTGTGTGTGTGTGTGAATGTGTGCGAGTGAGATTGTGTGTGCGTGTGTGTGTGTGCGTGCGTGCGTTTGTGCATGCCGTATGTGTGTGCACATGTCGCGGGGAGGGGGGGGGTGTATTTATGTGTTTGTGTGTGTGTGAATGTGTGAGTGTGTGTGTGTGTGTGTGTGAATGTGTGCGAGTGAGAGTGTGTGTGCGTGTGTGTGTGTGCGTGCGTGCGTTTGTGCATGCCGTAGGTGTGTGCACATGTCGCGGGGAGGGGGGTGTATTTATGTGTTTGTGTGTAAGCAAGGCGTTAGGAAACGTTTACATTGTATTACCTTTTTCTCAAATCGTGCTGTCAGGCAGATTTCTATAGAACGGTTCCATCGGCATGCGATTAACAGAAGGAAAAAACAATCTGTTTCGCGGAGAAAAGGGGATTTTCGGTGGAACCTTAGGCTGTGGGACCAACCGGTATATATATATATATATATATAGGATAGATACGTATCTATGATA